GGAATGAGATATTTTGTGTTTTTTTTTTATATTTATTTAAAATATTAAAGTAAAATAAAATATTAAAAGATATATGGTGATTTGTAATTAAAAGGTAGGTAGTTTGGGAGTGATTAGGAGGATAAAAACTTTATAAAAATATATATACAAAAAGAGCCTTTATATGTTTTATATGAAAATTTTTAAAAATAATTAAAATAAATAATAAAATGGGTAGTTAGTGAGGAGGTTTGTGATCTATTGGAGTTTTTTAAAAAATAAAAATAAATAAGAGAAAAATAATGAAGGAGTAGTTATTGAAAAATATAAGATATGGATGCATAAGAATATTATATTCGACTTGAAATACAAACATAAAATGAAAAGTATTAGAAATTCCTACAAACATTCTATTTGAAAAGCTTCCTTGAGAAAGAAACATTAAAAATCCTTAATTTTTAGTTATAGATAGATTATAGATAAATTTGATAAAACAAGGACAATGGTTGGCACTTGGTCTTCCGAGTTAGCAATGACCATCAATGCATTTTCATTAAATTGTGCTTCTGTAGGAAGATCATAACAATGATCTTGCACTCTGAAAATCAATTGATGGTGTAGAGTGGCAGCCAACGCTGCTTCTTCATGTAGTGCTCCAACGATCTAGACCTGCACCTTGAATCTTTTTGGGAGAGTTGGATCCTTTAATTGGACATTAAAGTTTGGAAATATTGTTAGAACAACACTTCCAGCATTTAATGTTGTCAGGACAGATCCAATGATGGCATGCTCGTAGTGATGAAAGGTAGAGTCTATAAGAGAGACTCTTGCAGTGACTGGAAGACCCTTTCTGCCATGTAAGGTTAAGACTAACCTTACCGCTCCAAAGTGAAGAGCAACATATCCTTCTCTTTGCCAGAACTTTATCAGGGATGGATTTATTTCTAAATCCACGTATTGTTCTGCAGAGGTTGCCTTCAGGGCACACTGGTCCATCTTCGTAGTTTGGATGAACTCTTTTATTCCAGGTCGAGGAGTTGAAACCAGCTTTCGAACATTCCAGGTAAAAGAACTTTTATGGCGTCTAAAGACGTTATAAGGGCTTAAGAGTGGTGGTAAAGCACTCTCGATCTGAGCATCTTCTGGAACTCGAGAATACTCAATCAAGTTTTCAAGTTTATCAGATAGGGTTTGTTTACAAGATTTTGGGATTGTAAGGTTGATTTGTGAAGAATGGGTTATAGAAGGTCGTGGGTTATCTAATTGGGAATCACTCATGTTGTGTAAAGCTTTCCTTACTCACTTTCTTCTATATAATTATACCTTATACCTCCTTCAAAAAGAGAGAAATACTTTGCTAGTAACGTTTAGGCTCTGATACCATATTGGACGGGAGCCTTATATATTATCAACATCATTATAAAACCCTTATCATTGAACATAAATATAATTACTCACTTAAATGATTAATTCTTGATTCGACCCATTCTTGCAATCTTTTTTAAAGAGACATTTATTTTGGATTATCTTTTTCTATTTTTAAAAATATGAAGATGAAAATATTTAATCCATATCTATTAGAAGGTCAAAGTGATATTTCTATAAGTAAAGAGATTTTATCCTAAGAGGTGAATGTGATATTTCTATGAAAATATTAGAAGTTATATTAACCCTTATAACGTTTATTTTTATTTAAATTATTTTAAATTTAAAAATATTTAAAAAAATATTAAAATTAATCAAGCAATTTTTTTTAATATATTTTTATAAGAATAACATTATTTCTAAGAATAAGATAGATGAAAATACAATATGATTCGGAAACAAACGTCCCGTAAGTGGGAAAAATATAAAATGGAAAAGAAAAAGAGTGGCATGGCTTAGCGTTGAAGTTAAAAAAATACCTTTGAGACATTTCAGTGTGTAATTGGCACACTCTGCAATCTCTGCATCTCCACATCACAATCTCAGGAACATGCCTGTAAGAGTATTGGACAACACCACCCCTTCTCAGGTTCAAGGTAATAATCATCATTTCTCATCTCATACCGCAATTTCTCCTTTTTGGTTCCCTTCTCCATTGTTTTAGGTATCTGAATTTGCCTCTTTTTTGGGGGTAATTGTTGATGTGATAATCCCTTGACGCATTCTGTTTTGGTTTGATTGTTCGTGTTAGGTGCGAATTCGGGAAAGACTTCGTTCCAATATTGTAGTCTTCTTGGCGTGGGGCAGGTACTCATTATTTTGTTCTGTTAGACTTTGTCAATTGGGATTATGGAAAGGAAGATAAAGAATAACACTGCTAAAGAAATTGGGTCTTTTTTTTTTTTTTTTTTTTTTTTTTTTTTTTTTTTTTTTTTTTAATTGGTTTAAGGGAATGTAGAAAATCTAACACTTCTTTAAGACAACTTGATAAAAAAAAATTATATATAAAATTTTGGTTGAAATGTTCATTTTGGGTGTTGATCAAAGTTTTAATTGGTTTGGAATTAGCAACTGGAACTGTTCTCGGATGATGGAAATTTATATGGGTATCTGAGGCTGACATTTATTGTGTGAATGTGGTTGGGCGCGTATTGAATGTCAATGGCAATGGTGGATGTTTGTTTATACATGTTATGATTGGCACTTGTTGGAGGATTCTCTTGTTGTCAGCAATTGGTGGGAAAGATAATTACTGTGAGTTTATGATTTTTTGTTTGACCTTATAAATTCATTTCAAGAAACTAACCCTCACTGGGGACAGCGGAGAAAAGGATGTGATAGGGTGGATTGAAGTGAAATGACTTTACATATCCATATGATGTCCATTTTCACTTTACCTTTGTATAACTACTTGACATTTAGTGAGCAGGAATTTTCTTCTAATGCCTCCCTTATGACCTTCTAAAGGCCTGGGAGATAGAGTATGTGATGAGTAGTTGATTTCAGAGCAAGAAATCAGCATTTAAAGTGATTCCAGTTCCATCTTGTTTAATAGCAATTAATTAAACAACCTTCTTCAACTTTCAAGCCTCAAAATTAGTTAATTAGCAGGGCTGTGAACTTGATATGTATTGCGTTTGTGATACAGCAACTTAATGCTTAGCCCATTTGGTTGGGTTGGCTAGTCAATGATCTATACCTTACGGATTCACCAAGGCTTTATATTGGCCGTTGATTTTTGACTGCTTTATTCAACCTGCCTTGTTTTATCCGGCCTTAGGTTGGCTTTGTAAAGTTTGGCTAAAAAGTGAAAAGTATGACATAAGTAGAGAAACATCTTACACTAATGATGTACTTCATGTTTCATGATTCTAAATGCAAAGTTATCCCAGTGCAAAAGGGTACATTATGTGTTAGAACTATACTTGTCTGGACTTAAACACAAGATGAGAGCCTTATCTAAATGACTAGTCCATTATGTGAGAGAGCCTCACGGCTTAAGTACTACATCAAGCTTCTTATGCTACTCAATGTTGGCCCTCGAACATTGTCTTCTTCTTTAAGAGCTCACATCTTTGGTGACTTTCATTCTATTGACACGACTCTACGGTAGTCTATTTCCCTTTGACGGCTTCACTCACCATCAATATTCATTATTGAACCTTAATTTAGCTTATAGGTAGCTCTTATTGTAGCCCAAATCTAATGAAAATACCAAGTGTTATGACTTAAACACAAGAGAAGAGCCCAACTCAAAAGACTAGTCCATTAGATAGGAGTCTCATGGCTTAAGTATCACATCAAGCTTCTTATGTTATTCAATATGGGACTCTTTAACAATACCACATATTTCTTTTTCTATGATAACCACAAATTTAATTTGTTCTATTGGATATGTATTGACACAACAACCACAACCAAGCCTTTTTCCACTAGGTGGGGTTGCCTAAATGGATCAAATGATGTCGTAATGTTTATGGACGAGTTATTGACCTCTAAGTCCTTATTTGTTTCACTTTCACCTATAGTTTTTCTTGGTCTCTGCCTCTAGTAACTAGATTTCCCTCCATATGTTCTACTCTTCTTATTGGGGCTCTTTTAGGTCGTCTTCACGCATTCCCAAACCACCTAAGATGAAATTCTACCAACTTTTCTACAATAGCTACTACCCAACTTTATGCCGAATGCATTTATTCTTAATTCTATATTGTCTCATACGTGTACTCATTTTATGGTTTCTCAGCTGTTAGATTCAAGGGTTTGGGCATAAACTTGAAGGTTTTATCAAAAGAATCTGCAATTTAACCAGAATCTGTTGTACAGAAGCTAACACAGGCCTCTTCCCTAACAAATACAAATATAACTGTCATACAACCCAAAAAATAACTGGCCTACATTTACTAAACACTCAATAATTGCCATACAAGTACAACGCATCACATAACTAAGCAGCATTGTCCTCAAGGCTTAAATGAGGAAATTGCTCTATCACAAAATGGTTTAAATGACACCAGAGGCTCCATCAGCTGGGCAGCTTCAATTTCCCCATTTGATATTCCATCATCACCTTTTCTCAAAATGAGAAGCTGAAACTTTCTTTCAGGGCATCTATTGAGAAGACTGAATGGTTGTGCACATTAGAAGCAGCATCCCTTTTCCCTTCTGTGAACATACTCTTAGTATGACAAACGCTTCATGTTTCTTTTCCTGATTTGGGTCCCTATTTGGCTACTGCCATCTGCACTGCTATTCGAATTCACAGCAGAACCCTGTTTGACTAATTGTATTTGGTTTGGGTGGGTATCTCCCGCTTTGCTTGAACCTGCTGCTGGGTTATACCCAGAATACATGCCCCGCACTGACCTGAAACAACTACCTTTCTCTTAGTTACTGATAACATAAATGTGCTTCCCTGTTACATCCATCTTGCTTGAGTCTTATGATTTACATCTCCCTCAATTTCCCTGTTGTCCTGAATGATGGAGCCTAGATACTTATACCATGAGAATGTTGTTAGGTATGTTCTACATCTCTAACTTCTCATTTATTTCCTCTCTTGATTCTCTGACCAAAACTATATTGTCTGCAAAAAGCTGCATCCACTCGTAATTTGCAATATGTAATGATTTTTCCTGTTATTTACATTAGCCCGTTAACGGCTATTGCAACTAAACACTTAATGATTAAATCATAATCTAGATGTACTGCTAGAGTTTTATTTTTGTTCTGGTGTTCATCTTTGTAAGATCTTAAGAAATAAGGACTAGGAAATGGAAGATGATAAAGAAGATGTTAGTATCCAGTCACAGTAATGGGTAAGGTATAGAAATAGTGTCCTAGAGCTAGGCTGCATGGATACAGGTATAGTACCCAGCATGTGTATAGATGTGGAGTACAAAATTATTTTAAAATTAGGGTAAGGGGACGGGCAAGTGTATGTGTGTGTGTATAAATGTAAAAGATTATATAATTTTTATTCTCATAGTAATATTCTTACCCAAATTTTGGAAACTCAAAAAATATAAAAGATTAAAATGTTTTTAGTGATATTATACTTCATTAGCCTTTTTACTTATATATAATAAAATACTTTTTAAATGAATCCCAAACCAAAACATTAAAAAAGAACATTTACAAAACAATAGAGTACACAACTTCAACTTCCACTGAATTAGATTTCACATCGTTTGTCTTTCAGCTAGTATATGGTATCATAAGTTCAGAGTTATTGCATATACTCAAGGTATTTATTTATATTTACAGGCCTTTTCTGGCACTCAGAATGTTTCAAGTGTACAAAAGGATGAAGCATGGAGAGTAAATGTCCGTATACAAGGATGTGACCTTGAGCATGGGTATTTGTGTGGCACCATGGAAGCACTAAATGTTCCTATGGCAGACACACCAGTGAGCAATTTCTTTATTGTTTATTTTTCTTAAAAGTGAAACAGAAAAGTGACCACTTTTACCCTTTTAGAAAATATGCATGTTTATCACTCTTGTTCTAGTTTAATTTGAATTATTTGTTGTGTTAAACTGTTAATTACTGATTTGTCACAAACAACTGAATCTGTAAATTTATGATAGAATCTATAATATATGTGATATATATGTGTGTGTTATCATAATAACATGTCTGTTTTATTATTTACCTGATAAACTCATCTATAAATGCACAGATGATGTTTCTTCTACTTCCATTTGGTGGCACAGTGGTTTTGTTAAATAATAAAGTTAACTGTCTTTGAATTTTTTGATTTTTTTAACCTACTGTATGCTAGAACTTGTCAGATTTTCACAGTAATTGTTATTAATCATTAATTTTCTCTGCTAATATTCAATCTTCTCATTTTATATTGCTGCAGTCACCAATATGACCCGACCTGAAATTAGTTTGTATGCCTATATCCTTATGTGGATACTATGCATATTCTGTCTCATTGCTACATGTTCAGCAGTGTTTAACTTTGATGCAATTTTAAATCAAGACTACTATAGATATTATATTTAACTTCTTCAAGTTCAAAATACTCTTGAATGTTGTTGTCACATAGAGCAAGTATATTACGTTAATCGACTAATTTTTCAGTTTTTCCCTTATATGTCCTTGTTGTCTATTCTTGGAAGTTTCTAGAAAGAGAGAAAAATCACCGTGGCATTCACTTTATCTTTTAATGATTTATGTCAGGTAGTAACATTCTGGGAAGGGGAGATTGTTGATACAAAGAATTATACCTTCTTCACTGGCAAATGGGAGGCAACGTATGTTACTATGCAATCAACTGTTAAATAAAGCATGGAGCTTAATTTCAATAGTACTGATGATGTCCATGTACTAATTGGATATATACTGTCTATGTTTTGCTTAACTTATTGTTTGTTTCTTTTTATTCTATTTTTTTTCAGACAAGAGGATGATACAAGGCACTGGTCTAAATTTTCATCTTTTTCTCCCTTAATGGTAACAATTTAGATTTTGGTGTCACCTCTAAGATGCATCAGCATCACATGTATTGTTTCTAATGCACTTTAACTTTCTAGGCCCAAGTGGAGTCTGATGGTGGCAAGTCTTTGGACCTGAGCAACTATCCTTACATATTTATGGTAAATTGCTTTTCACCAAAAGAAAATGACAATGGTGAAAAAAAATTATTTATCTGATATGAGAACCTTTACAAATTGCACTAAATTCTTTGTTGCAGAGATGGAAGGAGCAGTACTTTGTGAATGTTGGAACTGACTGTGGATTAACTATAGCCGGATTTTACTACATTTGTTTCTCTTGCAGTGATGGCTCTATCAGTGGATTCTATTATGATCCCAATAGCAGGTGCTCACCTCTTGTGTTTCCGATTGGTTTATTTTGATCCGTTTTTCAGTCTGAACTTCAGCAAACTTATTAGTCTTAAGAATATGCTTATCAAATCATTTAGCATTTTTTATTGCGACTTTTTTTTTCAGGATTAAATATGTTTTTTGTCCTTGAACTTTTGCGAATTTTCACTTTTAGAAATTTTATTTGGTTTTAGTTCCTCAAGTTTTTCTCCATGAACAATAAGAATCTTGACACTAGGAACCAAAGATGTTAAGAGGAAAAGTTTAAGAACTAAAATTAAAAATTGACAAAAGTTCAAGGATCCAAACTAATAAAAAAACTTTTGAGAAATTAAGAGTGAAAATTGACAAAAAATTTAAGGACTAAAAATATATTTAATTCTTTTTTCATTATGTCATTAAAATGCTTTTGACATGAAACTCATGGACCCTTTGCAGCCCTTACCAGAAGCTTGAGTTGAAATCAACTAATGATGGGAGATCAGGTTTCAGTTTTTCATCATATGAGTTGCAATAGATTGTGAGGCGCGTAGTATCTCAAGATTCATCATCTAATTGTCTGTATTGTATATGAGTGGGAACATGTGAAAAATTTGAGTTTTTTGTCGTTAGAATCAAAGCAGGGAGAACAAGGTTACTATTACCTAGCATGAGCCCCAATGTTGTAACCTCTTTCTTACCTGTGACTTCAGGGTTTATTACACGACTTACTGGTTTTTTAGAGTTTCAAACCATTATACACATATATGCATCTTGTACAATGTGTTTGTTTACTCTAGTTTTATTTTAAAATGCATTTAATTAATGTACCCTTATTTCACTTTGGTGACAGATTTGTTAGACTGTTTTCGTCTTTCATATATTCCTCTTAATTGGAACATTTTTCTTCTAATTATTTGTAAAATATAATTTTATTTTCATAATCTTTAGTAAAAATAATTATGTATACTACTTACCATTAATTTTTATAATTTCTTAAAAATATTAGCTTTAGAATTATATATAATTTCATCATGAACAAATAGTTGAATCAAATTCCTTAGGGTATGGAAAATCAGATTAAACTGGAGAAAAAAATTGTTGTGGCGATCATGAGTATCACTGTGTTATTACATAAAATTTAGACTATTAATTCAATAATATTTAGGCTTATTTTATTTTATTCACACCATCTTTTATTTTTTATTTTATAGAATGCTTCATTGAAAATGCTCGGGGCGAACATTTATGCTCCCAAACAAAGAGTGATATGAACATTGTTCATTTTAAGCATCTCATTAACGTTGTCATTTTTATCATATTACATTATATTACTTAGGCTTAAATATATATATATATACATATATATATATATATATATATAATAATTTGGGCATGTTCCCACTAAATTATTTCAGTTATTTTAGTCATTCTAACAATTTTTTTATTTTATTTTTATTTTTATAGTTTTTCATTAAATAAGTTCTATTAAATAATAATGCGACGAATGAAGTGTTATCTCATCACACCACATGTCAAATACAAATTATTTGTTTATGTTCTTTTCTTAAAGGTAGTTTTTTTCTTCTTCTTTTTTATGTATTTATCTAAACTATTTTTTTAAGAGAAAAATAATTTTCTACTTGTTTTAGAAGCAACACTCATAAAAAAAATACTTATATATATAATATTAAACAAACGGGCATGTAGGCATGTTTTGGAGACTAAAATGACAAATAATTTGTGAGGATTGAGAAGTTCATATCTTCTTACTTTTTGTGTTCGATTTTTGTGGTTAATTAACAATTTTTATCTTATAAATTAATTATATATATAAAAAATAAATTAAATTTGAATTATCATATTATTTAGAAATCACTCAGTTTTTTAGTACACCAATAAGACATAGAAGAACTAAAAATTAAGTCTAAGTATATTAAAATAAAAGAAACATGGTAAGAATACATATCAATATGTATTAATCGAGGTGTATAGAGACTAAAATCATATATATATATATATATATATATATATATATATATATATATAAATGAATGTTACCTATCCGAATGAAATGATTATTTTAATTCATAAAATACTCGTGATTGTAAATTAAGATTTCCACAAACAAATTAAAAATTAGGACGTTGATAAAATTGCGTTAGTTTTGTAGTAGTAATTCACTAATTAGTATTTTACCGTATACACTAGGCATGAGAGAGACATGTATGGAGAAACATTTATACGCACATCCTCCTCGTGCCCTCACGCACACTATTATCTTATTAAGGTGGCAATTTAACAAGAAACCCACTCTCGCATTTACCCCTTTTCATACGGGTCGTGTCCTTCTTTTTATTTCCCTCTTTAATTAACTTCCTTCCACTGTGTACCAACCACAACTACCCCACTAATAACCATGTTCTCCAATCCCTATATAAATCATAACATATTATATTGTAAATTCCACCCCACAACACAACCATTCATATAATATCTCACAACCAAACACACCATGATCTAGCCATTGATAGAATCGTCATTTTGCACTATAACATGACACCAACCCTCCTTGTGTTTAGATTTCCGTTACAAAAAGAGCATATGCATAACACACATTTGCTACGTGATATAGCTATATATAGTAGTTACTTTCTTATTTGTGCGAACCAAAAGTGCCACGTTATTTATTGTTAGCTTCCAATTCATGATTTGTGTGTGTATATATATATATATATGGATAATTTGCTATGTGAAGAGGTGTGGCTTTCAAGGTCTGATAATACCTTTAAAGAAGTTGGTGAACCTATTGCACTCAAGAGTAGTTATGAAAATGAAGATTTTCAAGAGGTTTTCTCAATGTGTCTAGAGAAGGAGGTTTCTTGCATGCCCGAAGTTGACTATACAAAGTACTTACACTCCAACAATTTGGTTTTTCATAGGTGTAGAGTTATTCAATGGTTTATCAAAGTAAGTTTCTTTTGCAGTTTCTAGCTTGACACGTATATGTATAGAACTTAATTAACTGCTCTTTTGAGAAAATATTTTCTATATGTATTTCTTATATTGTTATGAACAATTTTAGAAAATAGTACTTTCTCAGACTAAAATGTCCTTACCTTGTACTTTTCTCTTAATTTCCATTTATATTTAACACAGTACATCACTCCTCATCTATTGTCTTTAACTTTTTGTTTTTCACTTGGTTCTTTCATGTGTATGCAGTGTAGAAGTCGCTTTAATCTTTCTTTTGGGACAGTCTTCTTGGCTATTAATTATCTTGATCGCTTTGTATCCATTTGTCAATGCAATGTAAGAAGTTTGCTATTGATCAAATTTTGTAGTATTTGTTACTTTATTCTGAATAATATATATGACAAGAGTTAATAGTAATTAAGCATTACTTGTAGCAGGCTTGGGAATACTGGATGCTTGAATTGCTTTCCATTACATGCTTATTGATTGCCTTAAAGTTCAATGAGATGTCAGCACTTTCGTTGAATGAAATTCAGGTGATTAAATTCTTACTGATAAAAAAACAGTAATATGTAACTAATTGTAATACTATATGAATATATACTGATAAAAAGTCTTGCATTGAAGGTGGAGGGCTTGCACTATTCATTCCAATCAAATGTAATTTTGAAAATGGAGCTGATCCTATTGAAGGCTCTGGGTTGGCGCCTTAACTCTATGACAAGTTATTCTTTTGTAGAAATGCTACATGTTGATTTCTTTGAACCTTTTCTTTATGAGAAATTTATTTCACGAGTCACTGATCTCCTTCTCCAAGCTACTTTAGGTATGTTCGCAAATCATGATATTTAGCAGCCTTTTGATCTGAGAAAATATTTTTTGTTTATTTTTAATAAAAATATCACTTTTTTTTTATTTTACTTTTGTTTCTTAAGACTTGTATCTATTGTATATCTATATTTTTTTTACTTACTATTAATAAAGACGTTATGTCCACTTTTATATGGACATATTTGTCTCTATATATAATAATTTCAACACTATAATCTAGTTTAACTTTACTTTTGATAATTATCTTATGAAGAAGTTGAAATGTATAGTATCTTCCTATTATTTATATTTTAAAATAAAATACACACGAGGTATTGTTGGTATATCTGCATTTTGGCCAACCCTTAACTTTTGCTTACTTGTGTTCATAACTGCATGTTGCAGATCAGAAAATGCTGGAATTCAGGCCAAGCATTGTTGGAATATCTGCATTGTGGTGCACTCTAGACCAGTTATTTCCATCAACATCAGATACTTACATTACTTATATTATGAGACTCTTGAACCAAAGTCAGAAGGTATAACAACATGATACTTTATATTTATGCTTCTATTTGAACTTTTTATTGATATAAAATAATTTTCGGTTTCATTGAGGGCTTTTTCTTCTTCCAGGATGATATCATTAAGTGTCACAAGTTGATGGAAACGCAGACTTCATTGTGGTGTGAAAATCACCATTATTGCCCTCTAAGCCCAACAACAGTACTATTGAATCGCATTTATGATTAATGCTAAACCATTTAACAGCTTCATCTTTATTTGACACTTTCTACACATCATTGATCAAAGGAGCTAGAAGAGTTATTACCTAATAAAGTCTCTGTGTAGCTTATGTTTTTGTGATCTTTATTTTACTTAGTCAGAAAATAGGTGCAGAAGTGCAGTAGCAATATTATGTTGGAGGACTGGGAAGAAATCAATTAATATGATGAAAAGATTGAAGAGATAAAAGAAGATCATCATCTTTAATAAAGACAGATTATTCATTTTGGGTTTTCTATACTTTTTGGGTTTATGATATTAAATAATTTTTCCTTTCAGGATAAATATTGAAGTATGTTTCTATACTTTTTTTTTTTGTCAATTGTTCACTTGTTTTTCTGTTGAAGGCTTATTGTAATAGAAGTGAGTATTTTAGGCCACACAATTTTGTAGATTTTTCCTTTTTAATTTATTCATCGAAATTAATAGCAATAGAATTATAATTTTAAATTTTCTTTAAACATATGATGTGCTTGGTTATGAACGTGTGTAGTTAAGAAGGAAATTTCAGTGATATATAAGACAGATTTTTCTATCAAGATCTAGATCCACAATTTGCTATCACTGTTACTCAGTTTTCTTCAAAGAGAGGAGGAAGGAAAAAAAAAAAAAAAACTTTCAAACTGCATCAACAAATATTGATTTCCTAGGTGCAGTAAGTTCCATAAAAAACTAAAATCTACAAACTGGTTAATCAGTTCTCTATGGGTTTAAATAGTTTTAGCCTAACTTACCTCCAACTACATAGATTAATTGACACAAAATTGTTTCATCTAAATTAGAGATATACAGTTTGAATTCTTAGTATACAACTACAATAAATATTGAGAAATTTTTTTAGCCGACTTTAGTTCTATCATGTTTGAACATAATTGTCTCATGTAGATGATACTTGTGGTTAACATCTCTTATTTTTGGTTAGTAATTTTTCAACTGGATTCTTAAATTAACAGACCGGTCACCTAATTCATTCATCACTTTTTTTTTCAGTTGAACTTGTTGAACCAGTCTACTATTTTTGTCATTGGCTTAGACTTCACTTTCATTTCAATACCTTGTTCATGTTTGACAAACGATAAATTTTGAAAAAATTATTATTTTTAAAAACTCTAGCAAAGATAAGAGAAGTAATTATATGTCTTTGAAATAAATTAAATTAGAAACACATTTTTGCATACCTTTAAATTGATCAATCAAGGGATGCCAACCTCGTAACACCCCATAAGTTCGAAATTAACTAAATTTATTCTATAATAGTCTAAAGGTAAAAATATTTACTTATTGTCTATAGTTCCACTTACTTTATGTTATTATTTATATAATTTAAAATAAACATTTTGAATCCTATAGTTTAAAATAGACCTTATTAGTCTTTATACTTAATTTTTTTTTAATTATTTTTAGTTTTTATATTTAAAGATAAATCTTTTTAATTTTTATATTTGCAGATTTTTAATCCTTTGTTTCAGTCAATAGTTTTTGTAACGTATTTTGAAACTTATAGTTTAAAATAGACCTTATTAGTCTTTATACTTATTTTTTTAAATCATTTTCAATCCTTATATTTAGAGATAGATCTTTTTAATTCTTATATTGCAGGTTTTTAATCCTTTGTCTCAGTCAATTTTTTTGTAACGTTGTTTCTTTTATGTTAACGTGATAAATGTATTAATTCAACTTTGTGTATTTGGTATCAAATTTATTTTACTATCTCTAAATTAGGTTTTTCAAGTTTAGTACATCTTTTGTACTCTCATTTGTGACGTCCATTGTTGAGATATCATTTTTTTTCTACCCTTACAAAATTAAAGACTTCTTCCATGTTAACACAAAATAGATAACATTAAAAAAAATTGTTATATTTTGAATTATCAAATAGTAAAAACTTCTTTGATTGGTAGAAAAAATGGGGAGACAAATTTATATTGATAGGCTTAGTTGAAAGGAAAACTAGCTTAGAGGATTAGTTGGAATAGATTTGAGTGAAAATGACTTACTAGTTGTTTGGTTACAAATGTTGGGTACATGACCTATTTATAGGCCTCAACACCATCATTCATGTTTTATGTATAGGATTCTAGATATATCTATTTTAGAGTTTTATATCTATATGTAATTGTCTACATAATTTTAGAATTTGTATCATCTAGTAGTTACTAGCATACACCTATGTATTTTTCTATAATAATCTAGCTTATTCTAGAAGTTTGTATCACATTTTATCACTCCTCCTTGATACAAATTTCTCTAACTCCTTATCATAGTGCGAAACTGTTCGATTACTCTCGATAGTGCCTTTGTGAATATGTCAACAACTTGCTCTTCGGTCTTATAATACTCTATCTTGATTTCTTTAGTTGTTTCTGCTTCTCTATGAAGTGATATTTAATTGTAATGTGTTTTTTCCTGTTGTGATGTACTAGATTTTTTTGTCATTGCTATTGCTGATTTATTGTCGTAGTAGATTGTAGTAGGCCCAGCTTGTTGTTCTCCCATTTCTGCAAGTATTCTTCGTAGCCAAATTGCTTGACTTGTAGCTTCAGCTACTATAACATATTCTGCCTCTACGGTTGATTATGCAACTATTTCTTGCTTTTTTGATGCCCAAGAAAATATTCCTGATCCGAGTGAGCAGGCATAACCAGAGGTGCTCTTCATGTCATCTACCGATCCTGCCTAATCACTGTCATGTATCCGAGCAAACTTGAGTTGGTCATGGTTTTGTACCATATACCAAACTCCTTTGTGCCTTGTAGATATCTTAGAATTCTTTTAGCTACTGCAAAGTGAATTTGGCTTGGACTTTGCATAAACCTTGATAAAAAGACTTACAACATACATTATGTCTACTCGTGTGACTGTTAAATATAGTAAGCTTTCAATTAGACTTTTGTAGCAAGATGTATTAACATCTGGTGCTCCACCATCTTTTTGTAGCTTCTCCTTTGTCTCAAGCAGAGTAGTGACAGTCTTGCAACCACTCATCTTGAACTTTTTCAAGAGAGTTTCACTATATTTCTTTTGACAAATGAATATCCCTTTCTTCTTTTGACTTACCTCAATACCAAGGAAGTATTTCATCAAGTCAGGGTCCATTATTTCAAATGTCTTCATCATGTCTTCTTTAAATTTTGTCATCATCTTCATATTGTTCCTCGTGTAGATAAGATCATCTACATATAAGGAGATGATGAGAGTGTCATACTAACTTTGGGTCTTGATGTATAATGTTGGCTCACTCTTACTCCTCCTAAATCCATGATTGGTGAAGTATTGATCTATTCTGTTGTACCATGCCCGAGGAGCTTGCTTCAAACCATATAAAGTTTTTCTAAGCCTTAGTACTTTGTCTTCATTGCCCTTGCTTATGAAACCTTGTGGTTGGTCTACATAGATCTCTTCTTGTAATATTCCATTGAGAAAAATAGACTTGACATCTAGCTAGTAGATATTCCAGCCTTTTTGTGCCGCAAGAGCTATTTGAGCTCTAATTGTATCTAGGTGTGCTATTGGGGAAAATGTCTTGTTGTAGTCGATTCCAGGTTGTTGTGAATAGTCCTTAGCTACCAATCTTGCCTTGTACTTTTGTATGGTTCCGTCCAGATTGAGCTTTGTCTTATAAACCCATTTTGCCTCGATGATATCTTTGTCTTTTGGATAGTCTACTAGGTCCCATGTGTTATTTTTTTCAATCATTTTTTATCTCTTCTTCCATAGCCTTGACCTATACTTGTTGCTTTGACGTTGCTTCAAAGCTTTCAGGTTCACGTATAGCCAAGTTGCAAGTTTCATATATATCCACCAAGGATCTAACTCGTCTTGAAGTAGACTTTGGTGATGGAGTTTGTTGTTGTGGAGGAAAATGAGGCTTGCAGTTTCTTCTTCTAGTTGTTGCATTGAGATATCAATGTTTTTCTCCACTTTCTCGTCATTCCAATTCCAAGCCGCATTTTCATCAACTTCAACATCTCGGCTAATAATCAACTTCTTGGTTTGCAAGTTGTATACTCGGTAGCCTTTTGACTGTGTGTTATACCCAAGGAAGATACCTCATACTATCTCGTTTTCTAGCTTGTGCCTTTTCTCTTTTGGAACGTGTATGTAACAAATAGATCCAAATACCCTTAGGTGCTTTGCTGATGGTTTTTTCCCGCTCCAGGCTTCAATCAGAGTCTTATCTTGGACTACCTTTATGTAGACAGCCGTATAAACTACTTCATCCCAAAAAATGTTTGGTAATCCTTTCTCCTTGAGCATCGATTTGGCCATCTCTATCATTGTGCAATTTTTCCATTCAGATACTCTATTTTGTTGTGGAGAATATGCAACTGTAAGTTGTCGCTCAATGCCTTCATCTTCGCAGAATTTATCAAACTTATGGGAAGTGTATTCTTTGCCATGATCACTTCTAAGTACTTTTATTTGTTTTCTACTTTGCTTTTCAACAATGGTCTTAAACTTCTTGAAAATACAAAAGACTTTTGATTTTGCTTTTATGAAGTAGACCCAAGTCATTCTAGAAAAAATCATCTATGAAGAGAATGAAATACCGTTGTTTTGGAGTGACAAACTGGAATTTAGTTGAGAGAATCATGTCCATATACATCAGCCCAAAATGGAAGGGCTAAAAGGAAGCATAGACATATTGTTGAATCTGGTCTAACACTCTTGGCTCAAGCCAAAATGCCACTACATTATTGGTGGGAAGCTTTTTCCACAGCCGTATTTCTCATTATTAGGCTACCCACTCAAGTTATAAAAAATAAGTCAGCTTACCAACAATTGTTTGATAAAAATCTAGATTATACTGCCATGAAAACCTTTGGGTTGTTGGAGATTGTTGAAATGATGAAGATCATTGAAATGACAAGAAGACTCCTCAAGAAATTTTAGTTTTGATGATATTGTATAAATGGTGTTTAAGCCTATGTAAAAGGATATTGTATTGATTGATTAGATATAGGCTATTGTGTGTGTGTGTTTGTTTATGTTTGATGATGTATGCTTAATTCAAGAATCTGTCAAACTTTTAAAATCCATTAATTTGTTTTTTAAGTACTTCCATGTGTAAACATGAAGTAATAGATTATCTTGAAAAAGGTAATTTACTTCCAAGTGTTTAAACATAGAAATATTACTTGATTCAAAACAAGAGTTTTCAAGGTAAC